ACATACAAAGCTAAGATAAACCTGCAATTTGTAATAACATTAATTAATGAAATAAGGTGCAAAAGAGAAGCTAACCAGTTTTCAATATCCCAAGTTTTAGTACAACTTATTGTTATAACCTCACACATGAAATCAAGAGCATTTTTAAAAGTTAGAAATAAGATATATTAAAATGCTATTGAACACTTAAAACTTATAAATAAAGATAATAGGCTTCTCAATCCCTTTGCATGTCACATGTAATACTTCCCTTTTAAAGAGGGCAATTGAAAAGTACCATATAAAAACCATATCTTAATGCTAGAGGTTTTAAATTTTAAACCTGAATATATTCATTGAACTAGTGTTGCTGTTGTGGTATTCATTCGGAGACAATTATAGAAGTCTCATGATGGTATTTGTCACCCACTCTTTCTCGGCACTATTTCACATATAAAGTAAAAATGTGCAAATAAAGAATAATTAAATGAATGTAAATATGTTTTTGAATTAATGATTGAGGATGGATTCAAGGAGAGGAGATCCGATGTTCAAGGAATGGAGCAATATAAAAAATATTTGATTTTGAGAGTCTCAAGAAGATGCACACCACTTCCCATTTGTTTTTAACCTCATCCAACTAAATCCTCACTCATGTTGCCAATTGCTCCTTCGTCGACACCATTAGTCACCGCTGCTCAACTATCATTTCATGTCTCTAGTTCTCCGATCATCTGATTCTCTAATGGGATTGTTTTTATCAAACTTGTCTTTGATAACTCATTCATAACTCATACTGCCATTGATTTTTTGTCAAATTTGTCCCTCATCATCGACCATTGCATAGCACTTTGGACTCTTGTGGTTCTCTAAATTGTGGGAAGAAAGGCAGAAGAAAGAGTGGTTTTCCTTTTCAATTTTCTTTGTTTAAGACAAGAACATTTTAGTCAAATGATAACATTGTTATATGAATAAAAAAAATTAAGCTTCGTCTTTCAAATATTTTTGGTCCCTTAGACCAATTTTAATTCTAACCAAGTCTTTTTAACAAATTTTCCCAACTTAAAATTATTAAACATGAATTGAAAAATATAGAGACTTTACAAAAATTGAACATTTTTTCTCTCCAACCTTTTATACAATTAACTAAGAATTAAAAATTAGGCTGGCAATTGAACCAATCAAAATAATAATTTATGATTCATTGGTCGAACTGTGATCAAAGCAATAACTAATAAATTAATATATTTTAATTTTTGTGCATTAAAATAATACAATGATAATTATAGATATATAGATGGAATGATATTCGCACATTTTTAAAGGCTAATTGAAAATAAAATTCAATACATTTTATTTAAGAAAAGAGATAAATAATTTAAAATAAAAATTATTTTTCCACATATTAACAAAATTTTTATTAAGATTAAAAACATAATCAAAGATCTATTGAAAAAAACTTACACTTGAGATAACAATTAAAATGTTTTATATTCTTTTAAACTATGATCATCAAGCATTTTTCAGAGGTATATTTAAATTGGAATTTAAATATTCTGCTAAAAAATATAGATAAATGCTACGAAATACAAATATGAAATATATGTTTATACTATTATTAAAAAGTCGTGGAGATTAATAAAAAATATAACCAAAGACAAGAGAAAAATAGTGTTATGCTAAGGACTAAGCCCCACATCGCTTGCAAGAAAAGAGGGAAGGGCCGCACAAATCAAAGCAAGGGGAGGAATCGAAGTAACTTCGGGGCTACGGCCTGTAGAATGGGCCTGGGGGTCAGCAGTACCCTGCGCTAACGCGTGGGGACGAGTCAAAATTTTAATATGTTTTAATGTCAGTAATATTTTTTTCTGGTTTTCAAATCGGAATTGGGTAATCAGTGATGTTTTTACCGGTTATTCCGATGGAGGTTGGAGATAATTGTCACATTTTGATTTTTGCCTTTTTTCCCCACTTATAATATTGGAATCCCGATTTTGACAGGATAATTTAAAATTGAGTTCTTTTTTCTAATTTGTTTGACTCGGAAAATAATCACTAAGTTGTCTTCTATAATTTTATATTGGCGTTCAAACGAATTGGTTAAAAATCTTATTTTAATTTGCATAAGCTGAAGTCATGAAAATGACTTCGGAAGTTTCGATGGAATTTCGCCGGAAAAAGCTTCACATATACAATTGATTTCGGTTGTTAACATTTTTTTATGTGTTTAATTTTCAGTTTAGATATGGTGAAAGCATATTTGGGAGATTCAATTATTTGTTAAATTTAATAAAAATATATTTTCAATGTGGTTTGAATGTGTTTTTAAGAGTTACTCAAACAAACTCTAACCTTCTCTCAGTTCGCATTTCTTTAATTGTGCTTAGTTAATAATTTTTTTTCAAAGAATATAAATAAAGTATTTAAAGAAGGATATTTTTATTTGGTCAAAAAAATGAAGGATATCTTTATCTTAAAAAATAAAATTGTATAGTATATTAAATGAGTTTTATTGGTATATGTAATTTTATTTAAACATGCTTTAAAATTTGGGATGGAGGTAGTGGTATTTTGTTTTAACCAAACTCTTATAATTTAATATGTTATATATTTTAATCTTTAAGAGTTCAAATTGTAATGAATGACTAATTTTAAAACAAGACACGTTTAAAATTTATGGCAAATTTGATTTGATATTATCAATAAAAACTTGAGTTTTGAAATTATGTAATTTATTTTAAAGTTATATAATATTTTAATAAAAATATAAAAGTGCTTGATTTTATTTTTTTAAAAAGAAAAATTTTAAAATTTTAACTTTTGGGAATTAACAAATTTATTAGATTAAACTACAATGATCTAATTTAAGAAAAATACATGGGACATTAAAAATTAGGAAAATAAAAACACAATTCATGAACAAGACTTTAACTTCTAATATTTGATATGAATATTTTGGCAAAAACAAAGACAATTTATTTAATATTTATACAATTTGAATTTTAAAGTTTAAAAATAATTTTAATATTATAGATGTGCTTAAAGCACTTTTGTTCTTCTCCTTTAACAATTAAATGGTATTTAATACTCTCTTTATTTTTATATCTAAGAGAAAAAAATTATATCACACAATTTAAAAAAATAGTTAAATATAATAATAATGTCTGAAAATAAAAAAAATTAAAATGTTATATGTTAATTAATATAACCATACATTAATTTTTTTAATATAAATTATGAAGCATGGTTTAGGGAATGTGTAATAAATGTTTATTGAAATAAATAATTTTGCTTATAAAAAAATATAAGTCAAAAGTAATAATTTCTTTAATAATAAAAAATAGAGGGAGTATTATTTATTAATTCAAATTGTGTGATCTTTTAGTGTAATGATAATTGCAAATCAAATGGATTAATTAAAGATTCATTGATTAACATATATTGGTGGTAACATATCTGTTATACTCCCTCGGTTTATGAATACACAAGTAATAATTATATATGGGAATAAAAAATTAGACTAAATATTCTTGTATTCAATTAAATAAGTTTGCATTAATATTTTGTCTGGTGAATGAGACTACTCATTCTATCTCAAATTATAAGATACTTTTAAACAAAATCTTATATATCAATAAACTTCATTAAATACACTTAACAATCTTTTCTTTTCAAAACAAAAATATAAACTTTTAAAAATACCCATAATTTAATATATTAAAAAGAAAAGGGATGAAATTAATTATAGAAAGAGAAAAGAAAATATTGAAATAGGTACATTTAATAAAATTTAATTTATTCAAAATGTTTTATATTTGAGATGGAGAAACACCTTCAAAAATATTTTATTTATAATTTGAGACTGAGGAAGTATAATTTTATAAGGAATAATTTAAGAAAAATGTAATAAATGTCACTTAAAATGTACAATTTTGTTATAAAAAAACAAAATATCACATGACAGTTTTCTCTTATATTTAGATATGAAGGGAGTATTTAATTGAAATTAACAAATTAGCAAAGTTTTGACAGAAAATAGTCCTAGAGATAAGGGATTGGACATGAAAAATTTATTATTAAATTGTGATGTTGAGATAGTAAATTTATTGAGATTAATAATTCTTATTTACATGATAGAGAAAGAATTTTTGTTATCTTATTTATAAGTTACACTAATATCAATAAATTTTTATTACAAATTTCTCCTTTTATAACTTTTATTAAATGTTGGGCAGAAAAAATGTGTTATTAAAGTTAAAATATTAAATTATTAACTTTTTAAATATGGTTAATGAATTTTAAAATTTTTCTTAATTCTATTAAAACATATTAAAATTAATTTATAAATAGAATAACAGGAGTAATATATATTACTCTCTTCAACTTAAATTATAAGACACTCTTTAGGAGTATTTGACATATTAAAATATAAGACATTTTAATCAAATTAAAATTTTATTAATGATATTTTTTTAATATTATCCTTTGCATTACATTTTTTAATTTTTTATTTTTTATAAATAAAATATTAGATAAAAACATTTTTAAAAGTTTTTTTTTAAAAAATAAAGTTATAAATTACATTTAATATGTGTAAATTATTTTTTATATAGTTATCCATTAGTTACTATGTGTAAATTATTTTTCAAAAAATTTTATTTTTTTAAAGTATACTCCCTCTGTTAAAGCATTTTTTTTAAAGAATTTAATGTTAAAAAATATAAAATATTTTTAATTTTTTAAGATATAATTATTATTTTTTAAAAAATCATATTAAATAAATTATTTTAAATTTATTTTAAAGTAAAATATTTTATTAAAAAAAAATAATTAATTTAAAAATAAATAATCAGGTGAGATTCATTTAAAATATTTTATATTTTTTAATAGAGAAATATTTAATACGTTTGATTTTGTCTGAATCGGAAGGAAAAGGCCATCGTAAAGACGAAACGCGTCCATTCAACCGGTGGAAGGGCCCGATGATTTGTGCTTTGTTTCTTAATGGTAGTTTTGCATTCGATGAATTTTAGTAGTTGACTTTAAGGCTTCTCAAGGTTGAAATTCCAAACTTTAAAAGGGGTAGCAAGCAGTGGAGTGCAAGCAAAGAGGAACAAGATTGTCTTCTACCTTCAAACAGCTTTACAGTTACAGTACTTTGATACCTGGCGGGAACTTACAAAATTCCGTTGCCTCAGGAAGGGTTTAACGGTCATCAATGGCAGATTCGCCCAGGGGCTCTTCCAGCTTCTGGACTCAGGCTAATGCTCTGCTTCGCAAAAATTTGACTTTCCAGGTGCCTCCACTCCCCCCCCCCCAAAAAAAAAAAAAAAACTGCCATCTGGCTTGTAAAAGCCTGTGCGTGTAATCCCTTCTGCAATCCTTGATAAGCCCCAATTTCTCTCTCTATTCTATTTCTCAATTTTTAGTAGTGTTCTTGCGGGGTTTTTAGTTTACAATAGAAATTTTCAGAAACTAATGATACAGTGATTTTTGAAGGTGCCTTGCTGATTGTAGTATAACACGTAAGGTGAAACTAGGATTATTTTCTCTGCGACTCTTATGTAGATTTGCTTAGAATCTGATATGTATTTCAATTTGATGGGTTTGAAACAGAGACCTCGCACTTTTAATTGGACAAGTCTGGCCAAATATATTTTCTGTTTGTTTTGTCTGATAATACGCGTATATCTTTGTTTGCAGAAACGAAATGTAAAGACAAATGTGCGGCTCATCTTATTCCCATTTTTCGTCTGTGTGGTGCTTGTTGTTATCCAAGTAGTAATCGATAAAGAATTGGATAAGCCAAAAAATAAGTGTGGTTGCATTTGTACTAAGAGAGATGGGAATCAATGTCTGGAGGAAGCCTGTGGAGTTGAGTACTCAGACACAGATCAAGTTGCAACTTGTGCAATTCCTAATCCTCCAGAATGGCCTCCATTGTTACAAGTGCCTGCTCCCCAATATCGAGCCGTACAAGCCGATATTATTCCATTCTCAGATTTGCCAAATGATTCTTGCAGGAGGACAGGGTCATGTCCTGTAACTTTTCTCTTCACTGGCAGTAATCAGTCTTTTGGAGAAAGTATGTGTGTGTGTGTGTGTGTGTGTGTTTCAATGTTTGCACACTTGTGTTTTTATTTTATTATGACATTGCTATATATATATATATATATTTTTTTTTTTTTTTACTCACTCAGTTGAATCATGGATTTCACTGTCTTAGATGTCCTAACCACGTTTCCATTTTTTCACAGCTTTGTTTGGAAATATGTTTAAAAGTCCCTTTAGTGTGAATACCTCTGATATCGTGGATAGTTTGGCAAGAAATGTCCTGGTGAGTTAGTATGTTTGTTATTTATCTATTTAGAATTTTCTCGATCAAGTTTTGTGTGTGTGTCTATTTCACTTGTTCTTTCATAATCTCACCATCTGGACATATATCTTGTTCATTTTGTTCATAATTATGTCATGAACATTGTTGCTGATGCAACCTTCAAAATGATCCAGGGATCAGAATCAATGCCACAAAACCAAAATTTTCTTGAACCAGCTTTCTTTTCGGGTCTTCCCATTTACTATCTGCAAACTCAGTGCATACAGAACTCTACATTCTCTGTTCCAATCCAGATATCAACCAATACCATCCAGCAAGGTATGTAATGCTACTTGTATTCATATTTTTTTATCATGTAAGATGTGATTACAGAGAAACACATGATCATGCAAGGCTGCGCCTGCACTGCTGCTACTATGATAATTGCCTTAAAATGTAAAGTTCTTACATATTTACTAGGAAGCCAATGCATTATTCTTGAAGAATTTTTTATAATCTTCAACTTACATGCATACATTACATTTTAATGAAACCTTTCTAAATAGATTGTCAAATTCTTTTCGGCAAGTAAAGTAATAAGCTTAATTTATGAAAAAAAAAAATGTTAGGCACATCAGAAAGAGGTAATTGCCCAATCAGTCAATTACTTATTGGGTTCTGTCAAACACTTAAGCAAATATTTTATTAGGCGCATTCAACTCCTTGCAGCACAACCCATCACATGGTCATATGTCCTGAAGGCTATTGGCTCATCATGAATGATAGCTTGTTCATGAATACTTTAACTGTAGGCTGATCATACCTTTTTCCAAATCCTTTAGCTGCTATAATTTAGATGGTTAGTTAATTTCTATCTAAAACCTATTGTTATTTCATAAAATGCAAAACATGGAATGGAGAACTCCTGGAAACGTAATAAGATTTGCTTCTTTCATCTGTCATAATTCACAAGGTCATTATATCTTTCTTTCGCGCATTTGGAACACTTTCACAATGATTGTTAACTTGTGGACGATTGTTGCTATTAAATGCTTGGCGAAAAATGCATTTAGCACATTGTTTCTCATGTAACAGCAATGTTTTCTAGGTTAGATGTGATCAAGGTGCAAATCCATAAGTTTAGAAATTTTGTTCTTAATTTTTGGCTCAAAACAAACATCTGCCTGGAGTGGACTGATCATTTGCTATATTAATTATGTCGCTTTCTAGGTTAGACATTCTTGAGGCTGGCATCTCATGTCTTAAATTTTTGTTCCCAATTTTCCTTGGATCTAGAGATTAGATGTGCTCAAGGTATACACTTATGGCGAAATAATTCTTCTGAGGTGAACAATGAGCTATTTAAAGGTTATCGAAAAGGGAACCCTGAGAGACAGATCAATGAGATAGCTGCAGGTAGGCACTTATCATCAGTCAATTTTATATGCAGTGATAGGGGAAAGCTGATATTTATTTCTATGTTCTCTTGACAGCCTTTGATTTTCTAAATTCAAGTGTGAATAGCTTCAATGTCATCACATGGTACAACTCAACCTATAAGAATGACACCGGTTTCGGGCCAATTGCATTGGCACGAATTCCCCGTTTAGTAAATTTGGTATGAAATTCTTTTACTCGTTTCATCCTCTTGTTATTATTCTGCTACCTGATATAACTCTTTAAAGCAACAACTCTTAGCATATAAAATATTTATATTACTGAAATATAAATATGAGGGTTAGAACACAATTTTGTGTCATTTGAGGTGGAATAATTTTGAGCTGAGGGAATATATCCTTTCTTATGAAGGAACTTTTAAAATCGTTACTATATCTATCAGTACTTATTTGTGTGGAAGAAGCTACTAGTAAGTAGTGATACTGACTGACATCTAAAATATATTAACAATTTCCTTTTAAATTTATTTCTCTCGTATCCAGTTCAATTTTTTGGGTCTCTATTGACTTGCACCTGACAAATCATGATGCTGACTAACATCTGACACATGTATATGCACTTCCAGGTATCAAATGCCTTCCTTCAGTTTCTACAGGGTCCAGGTACTGAGATGTTATTTGAGTTTGTAAAGGAAATGCCAAAACCTGAGACTCCCTTGAGAATTGACGTAGCTTCTCTTCTGGGCTCCCTCTTCTTTACTTGGGTCTTCCTGCAACTTTTCCCTGTATGTACATCAAATTGCAGAAATAGTTTCTAATGGAGAATTAATTGATATGTGGCATCTATGTTTTTTTTTTTTTTTGTCGGTCTTCAGTTTCCTTAAGATCCTTGACCAAGAAGCAATCTTATAAGGAACCTCTTTAATTTTTTGTTTTGTTACGAAGTCATAAGATTCTTTCTTTGCCCGGTATCTTCTTGACCTCCTATAGATACTGTTACTTATTTACGATTTTCTTTGCTTGTATGTACTTATGTAGATAGATAACTATTTTGGATCAGGTTTCCTGCTTGCAGGACAATTCATGTAATCAAAGTCAAGGACAATAATTACATCAACATGTTAAATGACAAAAATGCAAGGCACTTATTCTAGTATACTTAGTTGTTTCAGGCATGTAAGTTCTATTTCATTGGTGTAGGTATTTTTGACATCACTAGTATATGAGAAGGAAAAGAAACTCAGAATAATGATGAAGATGCATGGTCTTGGTGATGGGCCATATTGGATGATATCTTATGGCTATTTTTTTTCCCTATCAGTGCTCTATGTGCTATGCTTTGTGATATTTGGCTCACTCATAGGTAAGAATAGTAGAATACAAGCCTGTGAACTATTTTTCACTTTTGACACTTTGGATTCTCTTTAATGCAATTTACTTCATTTACAGGGTTAAAATTCTTTACATTGAATGACTACAGCATCCAATTGGTTTTTTATTTCATCTTTATAAACTTGCAAATTTCACTGGCATTTCTTGTGGCCGCCACGTTTTCAAATGTTAAGACAGCTACAGGTTTGACAATTAGTCTTTTGTGTTGTTTATAATCAGGTGTTCACTACTTCTATTCTCAGGTCCGATTGCTGACTCTTGTTTGTGATAATTGCAGTAATTGCATATATTGGTGTCTTTGCATCTGGGCTTTTAGGTGGATTTCTTTTCAACTTTTTTCTTGAAGATAAATCATTTCCAAGTAAGTTGGTTGTTTGAGGAACGATAACCATCCTTTTTTCCCCTTCTAATTTCCATATATTACTCCATCTAGTGGGATAAGGCTTATTCTTGTTGTAGATTTCCATATATTATTGGATCTACTTGTTTATCTTCATCTGATTGATTCTCATACAACAGAATTAGATAGCATTTTTCTACATGGTTAAATGGTGATGTTGATGATCATAAAAACATCCTTCAAAGTAACTATTTAAGTTCTCGTTAGCAGATGTTTCAATCTCTTTAGGATACAAAGAAAGGAAACAACTGAATGTTGGCTTTGACATAAACCTTTCACCTAGCTTCCTGTCCAATTTCCTCGACATTCTATTGTTCTACTAGTCATGGCAAGTGTCATTACTTGTGCAAAGCAAGTGTAGGTTCTATGCTACCTTATCCACCCTTCCCAACCTCTCCAGTTGGCTTACTTGTTCAAGATTTCAAGATTTTTGGGTCAATTTATGAGTTTTGTTTTGAGCCTAACTCCTAGTTTCTTGCCTCAATAGGAACTGACCAAACCCATTAGAAATTAGGGAGAATTACATCCAAGGACCACTCAAGGAAATTATTTACAGATAAGGACCAATACCAAATAAATTGTTAAAATGGGAATGTGATTTTTTTCCCCTCAAATGGGACTTGTTGTTAGTCCTTGTTTGTGAATAATTTCCTCAAGTGGTCCTTAAATGTGATTCTCCCCAGAAATTATAAGTAATGACATTAACGAGGGAAGGAGAGGAATGGTAAGCTTTATTTTGGTCATAATGGAGTCACTTATCATGTTATTATCAATGTAATGTTTCTTTGAATTGATACATAAGGTTGAGAAATATAGAGGGATAACTGAAATGGAGTGAATTCAGCTCTATCACTCTTGTGTTCATTTTCATGTAGCATAAAAAATGGATTAATATGATGGTCATTCTTAGAATTTTTATCTGTTGAATAACCTTTTGAACTGATTCTTTAAAAGATTACTTGAACTTTGTTTTGATTAACATCTTGATTTTCTTACTGTTCAAGCTCAGTTTTTGCATGAACCATTTAAAACTCAAAAACATGCTAAACACCCAATTCACCTCCCTTCTTAGGTGTAGTTGCCTAATCTAATGTTATCTGGTTTAGATTGGAGATTGTTTGTCATCTTTATATGTGTCATGTCTGTGTTGTAAAGCCTGACTTTTCTGGCCTGTTATTTGCCTGCTGTGTCTTCAGGAGGGTGGATAGTTGTTTTAGAGTTGTATCCCGGGTTTGCATTATATCGTGGACTCTATGAGTTGGCATCATATGCCTTTGAAGCAAATGCTACAGGAAACCATGCAATGCGATGGGGAGATCTGAATGATAGCGTAAATGGCATGAGAGAGGTCTTAATTATCATGTTTATCGAGTGGTTTGTAGTGCTTGTTGTTGCTTATTACATTGATCAAGTATTAGGAAGTCGCAAAAGTCCACTTTTTTTCTTGAAAAGATTTCAGAAAAAGCCTTTGTCATCATTCCGGAAACCTAGTATTCAAAGGCAGGGGTCAAAAGTCTTTGTTCAGATGGAGAAATCTGATGTCAGTCAAGAGGTAGTTATGCTTATCTCAAACACTTGTACTATATATTTTTGGCACAATACTTGCACTATTTATTTTGTACCTATCACTTCTGGTTTCAAAAATTGATGTTACAATTCTGCCTGACCATGGTGTGATGATGTGGCACAATTCTTCAATGACTTGGGACTGCTAGGTAATTAGATGTTCCATTAGAGAAGCAAATGATTTCTTTCCTTTCATGTCACTTCCTTTCCTCTTGACAAGTATGGTGTATTGTTTCTGAGGAAAAATAAAATGTAAGGTCAAGAGTTTGACTATCTTATCTTGTATTTGTGACTCAATTATCCCAATAGCTTTTAATTTCTACCAGCTATTGATCTCAAGCATTTCTTGCCAGTTTTCTGCAACTTTGGTCATTCTCATTATAGTGTGACTTACTTGCATGATGTGTTGACTTCTTCTTTTCCTTGCCAGAGGGAAAAGGTTGAGCAGCTGCTACTTGAACCAACTATGAATCATGCAATTGTATGTGACAACCTAAAAAAGGTGTATCCAGGGAGAGATGGAAACCCAGAGAAATATGCAGTGAGAGGCTTATCTCTTGCTTTGCCTGAAGGGGAATGTTTTGGTATGCTTGGCCCCAATGGTGCTGGGAAGACCTCATTTATCAATATGGTCAGTTAAATTGAAGTTCTTAAAGCTATATGAACAAACCTTTGGAGCAGTTATTTTTTTACCCTATGGAAGTAGGATCAGCAAGTCTCTGCTCATAACCTGAGCTGCTCACATAAGAGGAAAGAGGGGGGAAAATTAAAGCAGAGAAAAACTTTTCTGGATTAATCAAGGAGCTTCCAATTTGTCAGTGTGTAGAGAAAAAATTTTGAATGCATATGCTCCAGGGAAAATTCTGATGGGCTCTTCTTAATTTTCTTTGAAGCTACCTTTGATGCCACGAATATTTTAGTCCTTTGAGTGGATTTCTCCATTGACTATCATTATAACTTATATATGGTTACAGATGATTGGTCTCACGAAGCCAACCTCTGGTGCAGCACTTGTTCAAGGTCTGAACATAAGAACTCAAATGGATGAAATATATACTAGCATGGGTGTATGTCCACAGCATGAGTAAGTTGGAAATTTCCTCAAGTTCCATTTATATTTTTCTGGATGAAAATTACAGTTACTAAGTTATTTTTTGGGTGACATTATAGCTTGCTGTGGGAAACTCTAACTGGAAGAGAACACCTGCTCTTCTATGGCAGACTTAAAAATCTTAAAGGCTCGGCCTTAACACAAGTAAGTCATTTGAGATTGGTATTTTAGAGGACTTGTTATTAAAGGAATATGAAAATCAAATTTTCATGTTTATATCTTCTACTTATATATATGATGGTTTTGATTTTGAGGAAGAGAGAGTATTTGGGCTTGGAAACTCTCAGTTATTAGTACGAGGGTCCAAAGTCAGACCTTTCTCTTGAGCACTGCTCTGTCAATTAAGATCTTCTTACTTGCATTCTGCTGCTGCAGGCAGTGGAAGAATCTCTGAAAAGTGTAAACCTTTTCCATGGAGGAGTTGCTGATAAAAAAGCTGGAAAGTACAGTGGAGGAATGAAGAGGAGGCTTAGTGTTGCAATTTCATTGATCGGAGATCCCAAAGTATGTATTCATCTCTCATTAATCCAATCTGCTTCTACTAAACCTGTGATGTAGACGTTTCCACGTTTGACTATTCATTTTGTGATTGCTGGAAATTTTTTTAAGGTCGTTTATATGGATGAACCAAGTACTGGATTAGACCCTGCGTCAAGAAACAATTTATGGAATGTTGTCAAGCGTGCAAAGCAGAATCGGGCAATCATACTAACCAGTATATTCCTTCTCCTTGTCCTTCTTATAACACAGATGACTGTAATAGGATATTAGGATTGTTAATAATGTATCCTATTCCGGTGCTTTGCTAGCTGTCTACAATTTGAACATATCTGCTCATTTATTTATCCAAGGTTTTGTTACAGCGTGATTGTGGTTTCTTTTATATATTTATATTGCATTATTTCAGCTCATTCCATGGAAGAGGCAGAGGTGTTATGTGACCGAATAGGAATATTCGTAGATGGGAGCTGGCAGTGCATAGGGAATCCAAAAGAGGTAAAATTATGAATGTGGCATGCTTTATCACTGTCATTGCCAAAAGACCTTTATATGCTCTGTGGGATCCTGAAAGCTTGGATGTAGATTTTAGATGTCTCCAATAGCATAGATGCAAGTAGAATTACCTCAAGAATTTCACTCAAGTCTTTGTCCCTTTGGAGTTTGGACTTAGCTTTGAATGTGACTTGTGAATCTTTTCTGGCAATGCACTTCCACTGATCTTTCAATACTGCTATTTTTTTTCTTGACACTTGCTATTTCAATGGCGTGTGATAGCTAAAAGCAAGATATGGAGGAAGCTATGTGTTCACAATGACAACATCTGTAGATCATGAGAATGAAGTGGAAAACTTGGTGCACAGGCTGTCCCCAAATGCTAGCAAGACATACCATATCTCTGGAACCCAGAAATTTGAGCTGCCAAAAGAAGAGGTCAGAATAGCAGATGTCTTTCGGGCTGTTGGCATTGCAAAGAGAGACTTCACAGTATTTGCATGGGGTTTAACGGACACCACAATGGAAGATGTCTTCATTAAGGTTTCACGTGAGGCTCATGCATTCAACTCTTTGTCATAATTGCTATGCATAGTGCCCCGATCGAAAATTCCATGGTAGACATGGTCTATAACAAGTAGATGGGTCAGACTAATCATGAATAGAGAGATATACGCATGTCACGCACACTTTTTAAGTGGATTCACATGCATCTATATCTATTTGTGATTGATTTGGTTTACTTATCTTTTATATAGGCTGAGTGCACCCGAGGAACCCTTTATCTTGATATTTATGACTTTCTGTAGGTCAAGTACTTTAATGTTTTGTTTTATAGGTCCCTATTAATTTGACATTGAAAGTTTGTATATGTGATATGGTTTTGGATTAATTGGGTTGGCCTAGATTGCACATGGCACAAAAATTTGGTATTTGTGGTGTCTTCGATGTGGAAATCTAATGGACTTGAGAAAAAAAGTATAAGGATGTTTAAGTATGAATGAATTTGAGCAAGTGTGGAAGCCTCGTATCATAAAAAATTGAACTTAGGAATCTTGAATTTTTTATATTAACATATTGTATCTTCTATGACCTTGGCCCAATTGTTTTCTTTGTCTTTGCCGATTAATTGCCCCCACTTACTAATAAACTGATGTTTTGGGAAGCAACCCAAGGGGGGAGAGGGAGAGTACAACTGAGCTAGAAACAATAGAGTAATAATGCATATAAATTTAAGGTAAGATTTTTCACGTCAAGTAAAGTTTTCTCACACTTAACATTATAATACGTTATCATATACTATCATATAATACACACACACACACACACACACACACACACACACACACACACACACATATATATTTGTGGTAATTTTGCTATATAAATAAATGATGTTGTCATTAACTATTAGTTGGTGAAAATGGTTTAAATTCTATCAATTATTTTCTTGGACAAATGGTTTTTTAAGAATATCTTCTCTCCTTTAGCACATCATAGAAGATAATTGACAACTATGAGTTATATTAAGATAGTAATAGTTTTAATTTCCATATTTTCCATATAAATTATATAAAGTGGAGGGTCCTTGTAATTGTGAGAGTTAAGGGACGTCAAAGTGGGCATGCCAATGACAACGGTGGTTATGATATTGATTTGGCAATGTATATTAATAAATTATTTTAAAAATAAATTTTGATTAAAAAAGTTACATGATTTTTAGTAAGTTATTATGTCTTGTCTCTCTTCGCTCGGGGGATAGTGTTATGAGGCGACTACAATATAAAAGTTTTTCCATTATGAGTTCATACGATCTCAGGTTTTCATGATTTAAAGAATTATTAGTATTTATTTTGTCTCGTTTAATTTAATCAATTTCAAGTAGTTTTCACTTATTTTTGAACCAATAGCTAGTCTTCATTTATTATTATTATTATTATTATTATTATTATTATTATTATTATTGGGTAAGTGCTCGCCATTAGTTATTTCAACCAACCTTTGTCTTTTTAGGCCCAATATCGAGTCTAATAAAAAATGGGTTGGTCAATTATCCTAGCAAGTTTAATTAGGTTGGTTGAGCTATTTTGTTTTCACAAATTTCCCCCCTTATATTGTGCACCAATAAATATTGTGTCTAACCAATTTCGAGTAGTTTTTAATTATTTTTGAACCAACAGCTAGTCTTTATTTATTATCATTATCATTATTATTTTTGGGTAAAAGCTAGTCATTAGTTATTTCAACCAACCTTTGTCTTTTTAGGCCCAATATCAGGTCTAATAAAAAATGGTTGGCCACTCATTCTGGCAAGTTTAATTAGGTTGGCTGAGCTATTTTGTTTTCACAATTTCCCCCCCATATATTGTGCACTAATAAAGATTGTGTCTAATCAAATAAACTAGTATCTTATAAGATGATGAGTTAAGATTCAAATTCTATTAAAAAAATTCTTACATTTTGCATTCAATCATCTTTTAAATATGATGGTCCTTGACAAGAGGACACTCACGAGCAATAAAAAAAAATTACATATTTTGTAATTAATTAAATATTTTGAGCATGTAGTGCTTGTTTTAATATATAAGTATATATATTTCTGAAATTTACACAATTAAAGTGACAACGAGTCATAAAACCAATAGATATCAATAATAAGTAAATGATACGAAGACTAATTGAATACATCATAAAAGGGTTAATCTTTCACAACAAAATAAATTAAAATTTAAATTCTTGTTTAAAGAGATAATATTCATTTTTAACATCTGACTATACTTCAAAAGGAAAATACTTGCACACAAGGGAGAAAAAAAGAAGAAGTAAGGAAACAACAACCAAGGTGAGAAGTATGTTGTTAAGCTGGCAAGTCTCACGAAACCATTGGCAAAATAATTTTATTTTTAAATGTGATTATTTAAAAAATTAAAATGAATATTTTAAAATTATAAACTACTGTATGCTAACTACGACAAATTTCAAACAAAAATCATATATAATGATTTATGATTTATTTAAAAAAAAACTTGTACTGAAGTCCTGCATCTAAATAAAACTGAAATGATCCTCTTTATGTCACATTCTCTTTTTTCGTTATATCATAATAATCAATTCATTCACATACATGATTGCGGCGGCGGCGGTCGCAACGTTAAAAATGGAATTATTAATATATTAAAAAAGAAAATATTAGACATCTGCATTCTCCTCCCATATCTTTCCCAAGGCCCCAACAAATCACTATTATGAAAGGGTAAGCCGTAAAGGTTATAACCATTTCGTGATTTGTTTGATCAAAAGAAAAAAAAAATTAGCACGTCTTGATGTGCTCAAGTGGCAGTAATCAAGAAGATTAGGGAAAAAAAATAAACCTTCATGAGATTACTATATATACAAACGTAATTAGATAACGATGATAGCCTAGAAGCCCGTCTGATCGAACAAATTAAACACGGTCTTTTGCGATGCAATCAAAATCCTTGAATATTGAAAATCAATATTTTACATATAAAAATTTACACAATCAATCATCAATATATCACAATTAGGGTGAATCCCTCAAGAATATAAAATTTGCTTAAACTTTTAAGAATAAATAGAATCTGAATTTTTTTTATTATTTTAAAATATTTTGAGTAGATTTGAAAATACTAAACTACTGAGAATATTGAATGAAAATACAATAATAAAAAAAAGATATAATTAAATCTAAAAGTAATTAAACAATCAAATCCAAATTCATAAAACTTTATCTATCTAAATAATGAACTTGGCTAAAATCCGAATCCAAATACTCCCTAATCCATACACAAATTCATAACTAAATTTTAGATTGTTTAACTAACTAAAAATTAATAATTTAAAACTATTTGAAATTGTTTAATGAAAACATTAATATTTAATTTAGAGAATTATAGGGCGGGAAAATTAAAACGGAGTAATTTGAAGATTTGGATATATTAAAAGAATTAGAGTGTAAAGTGAAATAGAAATATATTGTTAACTAAAAAAGAGTAATAAACAACCATTTAAATTTAAATAATTCAGATTGAATATAAGTAGGTTAAATACCTAAACATATTAAATAACTTTGTTAATCAATCAACTAGGATCATAATTTATATTATTTTTGGAAATCAAAAATATGAATGAAACGTAAATTTAAAGTAAATATATTTTTAAATACTAAAAGTATCTTATGCGAAAGGCATAAATTAATGCATAAAGATAAATTATTTATTATGCTTTATATCATGATATTGATCGATTCTTATAGTTAGCATATCCTAACAAAATAATCCTATAATTATAGAAGATTAAACATGCGTACGATACGACTCTTGTGTATTTAAGTGGCTTGAGTTTTCATGTTTGATTGTCCTATGAGCACTGAGTTTGCTTTCTATTTCTTCCACAATGTCTAAGGCATCGTTTGTTTCCTGCATTTTCCTGGTCATTCTGCTCTTCTCTCAGGCTCATGCAGAGAAACCCAAGATTGGAACTTATGAGCTCAAGAGAGGAAATTTCCAAGTCAAGTTGACTAACTTTGGTGCCACTATTATGTCTTTCGTTGTACCTGACAAAAATGGTAATTTGTTTTCTCTTCTTGTTCTTGTGTTCATATTCTCTTTCCTTTTTCTCACATTCTTAAAACGCCTTTTGTTGTTCTTCTTTCTCCAGGAAACTTAGCTGATATTGTCCTTGGCTACGATTCTGTCAAGGATTACAAGGTCTGATTGAATTTTTTCTTTGAGATTTAATATATCATCAGGGCCCAAAAAAAAAAAATCGATTCTGTCTGAAAAATTTACAGAGAATTTTGTGATGTAGCAGAACGATACGACATACTTTGGCGCCCTTGTTGGACGTGTGGCCAATAGAATTGGAGAAGCTAAATTCTCTTTGGATGGAAAAACCTACCATTTGCCTGCTAATGATGGCAATAACACGCTCCACGGTATGTTAATCGTAATTAATTAATCAGCATTTAACTTCCTGTTATTATACTAATACCATTCTATGCCAAACAGTCATATTAAATAATTTCACTATCACTGGTTTTCACTTATCAATGAAATATCAGGCGGACCTAAGGGTTACAGTCAGGTTGTATGGAATGTAGCATCCCACAGAGAAGATGGTCACATCACATTTACTCATGTCAGTCCTGACAACGATCAAGGTACTTTCTTTTCTTCATATTTTGACCAGTTTGATTGTTTGATCTTTGCTGCTAATAGATTTTTCCTTTTATCCTTCTAGGCTTTCCAGGAAAGCTTGAGGTTTCAGTGACTTATGCTTTCTTCCAAACCAACAAATTCATTGTGATGATGGAAGCCAAGCCCATTGACAAAGCCACACCAGTGAATCTTGCTCAGCACACTTACTGGAATCTGAGGGGCCACAACAGCGGAGACATTCTCTCACATACTATTCAGCTCTTTGGCTCAAAAATCACACCAGTAAACGATCAACTCATCCCCACAGGTCAGTTCATGGAAGTCAAGGGAACCCCATATGATTTCCAAGAACCAAAAGAAATTGGCAGTCAGATTCATGATCTTCCTAGTGGCTATGACATAAACTATGTGTTGGACAAGAATCACTCAAAGCACTTTAATAGAGTGGCTGTGGTGAAGGACTCAGTTTCTGGGAGGAAGATGGAGCTGTGGTCAAACCAACCTGGTGTACAGTTCTATTCCAGCAACATGTTGAAGAATGAGAAGGGTAAGGATGGAGCCATTTACCGTAAGTATGCTGCTATTGCATTGGAGACTCAGGGCTTCCCAGATTCAGTGAACCATCCAGATTTCCCATCACAGATTGTCAAGCCAGGAGAGATATATAAGCACTTCATGGTTTACAGATTCACTGCTGAGTAGATGATAGTGTTAGCAGAAATTTCTTTTCAGGCTTACTGTTATTTTGATGTTAATTAGTTGAATAACTTTCTTCTTTTTAGGTCTTCTAGTTTAGTTTTTTTTTTTTTTAAATCTTTTTGCTAGCTATTCATGAATAAGTTCTTTCTTCACCGCTAATTTTAATATTTTTGTTTTACCATTCCTCGGCTTCCCCTTTTCTTGTCTACTTCCTTTACCATTCCCTGTTTCACCATTGTGTACATTTTGGCTGTTTTATTAATCAATCCCTAAACCAAATTGAAGCCATGAGACATTAGAATTTGGAAAATACATACTCCCTCCTTAAGGATTGGATGTCTAAAAATGCAAGAGCCTTTCAAGATATAATCATTACTTTTTTTAAAAAAATACCCCTATTAAATAAATCACTTTTTATTTATTATAAGGCAAAACATCATATTAAATAGGGATAAATGTAAGAAAATAGGGTTAGCTTGAAGACAGATAACTACTTTATTAGAGATGAGATTCAATTAAAAATGCCTTACATTTTTAAATGGACAAAATATATAATAGAGAAAATTAGTTCAATGGCCTCAAAAAATACAACTCCCATAAATTATGGATGAAGTTTTTAAATATTTTGAAATATGGCCCATTCATAAAATCAATTAAATATGTTTTCCTTTTTCATCCTCAGAATATATTTATTATTAAAACAAAATATATTTAATTTAACTAATCTTTAGCAGATTGGATCTTTCATTTTTATTATCAAAAATTGTATTGTGCGTGCTCCCTCTCTGATTTATCATTTCTGAATATTTTCTTCATCAAAATTTTGGATCTGATTTTCTTGGCTCATTATATTTATCTCTTATACAATGCTCTTCTTAATCAAAATTTTTGATCTAATTTGCCTAGATCACCATCTTCATCCCAAAACTTTTCCTCTCTCTCCCTCTTTATTTTTCCTAGATATTACGAAGAGAACATTAAACATTAAAAAAAACTCTATTACTGATCTGCGATACTATATCACTATATATCAATGATAAATAAATTGATAAGTTTTCTCTGATATAACTTAATATTAGTGATATATCATAATATATTACTGATATACTATCGTAGATCAACATAACCAGATAATCAAACATAAACTTGTTTAGAATTGATATACAATCGTATATCAATAATGTAGTATCACAGATCAGTAACACAAAACACACATAATTATTTTTCTAAAATAGATCAAACAAAATCTCAGGAAACCCTCGCTTGAACTCTGGCTCTTGTAATAGAGTCTAACCGAATTTCCTCACCCTGAATTTGCAGCTTTAGAGTGGCTTTGTGTAGAAGCTGTAATTTTAAACTTCCTCACCTTGCATTCATGATTTTTCAACCTGAATCTATAGCTTCCAGTTTGCCTCGCCTCACATTCTTGTGGTCTCCTAACTGAATTTCTAACTCTTGTTATCCATCGGTGTGAACTATTTCATTATCTACTGTTAGTTTTTTCACTGTCATGACCGAGAGTGCAGTGTCGTCTCCATGTCTTCAGGTCGGTGAAAGCGAAACCAATATGAAAAAGGAGAATCAAGGTATTGTGATGTATAAGGATAGTTTTGCCTTTTGTATCAAAGGCAAATTAGAAAACGGCCATTATCTTAATTTAAGAAAAGGTGGGTTATTAGTTTTATTTAGTCATATAATGTTGGTTAAATTTGCTAAAGGCTAAAGTCCCTGTATAATATCCCAAACAACGGGAAAACATTCTTTTCATTTCGCAGTACAGAGCGTAGATATGTTGCTGCTATTTCTGCAATGTATCCTTTAAACACTTCTTTCAGGTTGATTAATTTTAAATAGAATGTGTTTTGAGCGTTTAGGTTGTTTAATTTTAACATTGTGCTTTCAAAATTACCAAATGGTTCAACAAAAGCAATCTTTTACTTTGGTTATATATGTTAAAGTTGAACCTTATATACTATTATTTATACTTAACATGAATTTATATTCATGTTAAGAGACCAAATTTCAAAGTGTATGTCTATATATATATGAACAGAATGACTATTGTTAAGTGTTTGTATAGTTTCGCTGCCATGTAGTTATAAAAAAAAAGAAAGAAAGAATGCAGAAGCTTGTTATCTTAAAAAATAGACTCGTTTACATGCACAGTTAATGTTAAACCGAAGTTCTTGTGATAGATTACTTTATCACTGGAAACTTGCTGCAAGAATGCAGAAACATGAAGCAATTTCACTTGATTATGATTATGCATTTTGATTCCAATGATAGGCCTGGGACCACAGTCGTGAATCTTCATTTTAAAAAGTCGTAGACCACAAAACCTAACAGGATCCACAAATTAAAGAAGGAATCTACGTTGTGATATCCACATGAAGAGGATATCCACTCTTGTTACGCGGTACTATGGGAGATTTGACAGGGGATCTTACAGTGCTCTCAGTCAAGTGACTGGAGATAGACCTTCTCTCTGTTGATTGATGATTATGTCCCAAAGAGGATGTGTCTGTATGACCTCGCTCTACCACGGGGCTTAAGGAGGGACTCCTCTCTGCTCTGGATCTAGATGAGGAACCGGCTGAAGTTCTGGCAAGTGGAAGCTGTTCTAGAGCAGCCAGAACTTCAGACATCTGGGGTCTGATTTTGGCCTCACTGATGCACTGTAGAGCAAGAATTGCAGCTTTATAAGCTGCCCTCTGTGGATACTGCCCTTCTAACTTGGTGTCCATGATCCGGAATAGCTTCCTCCTATCACCCAAATAAGGTCTTGCCCAATCGACCAGATTCTGTTCAACTCCGGATTTTGTTGAATCAATGGCACGGCATCCTGATAGTAATTCCAATAGGACGACCCCAAAGCCATAGACATCGCACCTTGCAGTCAACCAACCTGCCATAATTTGGAGATCAGTTTCAAGGAAAAGCATAAAGTTGCTCAGACATCCAGAACAATGATATTAAGCGTGTTTTTGGTATTGCGTTGGCTTTGATCTAAACCAGAGTAATTTGAGAGGAGTTTTTAGTCAAAACATGGTTTTAATCAAGACCAATGCAATATCAAACCTGCTCTAAGCCATTCCATATAAAAAGCAGAATTTAGTTCGGAACAACTCGGGATATATTGACTGAATAAATAAAACTAGTTCAACGATTGAAGGCTACTTGGGAAAATGGGTAAAAAGGAATCCTTGATGTTAAGTTCGCATCAATCTTAAAGACTGAAGTGAGCGTCATATACTAGGAAACATGTTAAGTAGTTCAATTTTTGCTTATTTGACCTGTCAATTCCAATTCAAGGCTTATAGAATTCCATTCATCACCAAGTCAATAAGTTTCTTGGGGTGATATCCATGGAAAGCACTGGCTTAATTTCAAATATTTATATCAACAGCAAAAGGAATCATAAGAAATGCTGAGGAAGATGATAGGATCACATATGTTCATGGACCAAAAAGTATGTGAGTAAATCTGATCGAGAAACCAAACCTGTAAGAATATATTCAGGAGCAGCATAGCCATGAGTACCGAGGACTTGAGTGGAAACATGAGTACGATCGCCAGTGGGCCCTGCTTTGGCAAAACCGAAGTCTGAGAGTTTTGCATTAAATTCCTGTATTCATAGAAAACTGACATTGAAATACAGGATAACAAGCACTATTGAAGTTAAAATGAACTTTCAATCATCCATTTAAAGAGGACTGGGGATGTAACTCTAAGGATGCGTTTTGATTAAAACTAGCCCCAGTGAATGCTCCAATGTTCTATTTGCGTTTCAAAAGCTCCCCCCTGACCCGTGGGCCAAATCCACTTCCCATTACTTTTTCGATGTATTTTTGAAAGGTCAGTTAGCACAATATAAAATACCCAAATAACATCCCATATTTGGAAAGTGGGAAAGTACTTTCCATAAATTAAAAATGTCAAATCCAAACGTGCCCTACAAAGGGTGTAATGAAGAAAAGGGGGAAAATAGTTAAAGCCACGGGGAAGACAACTTTGGCCTTTGTGGCCCTTCCTTCGTACATTTTCTTAAATTTTTCTTTTGATCATCATCTTTCCTAATCTTTAGAGGAGGCTTGCAACAATCCACGGGTAAATTACAAGCATTTTGCATCAGGTGCCCACAATAGCAATGTGACTGTTTAAATAACACACCGAATCTAATAGGATGTTAGAAGCCTTGAAGTCACGGTAGATAACTTGTTGTTCAGAGTCATGGAGGAAGGTGAGGCCTCGAGCAGCACCAATAGCAACTTTGATCCTTGTTTCCCAAGGAAGTGGTTGTGCACCCCCTGCAGTTTACGGTTCCAGGGTTGATTATAGCACACTTTCTTTAGCATTGTTTGAACTTGCATGGCAATATAATGGTAAAATAGTTTGGTGGTTTGGTCTGTATAACTGTAAACTAAAGTACTTCCAGGTTAAGACTATCATTCTTTGAAAGCTATGCTACTGAAGGGATCAACGTACTGCGAAATAGATGATTCTCCAAGCTGCCTTTGGGCAAGTACTCGTATACCAGAAGCCGACTATCCCCATCGAGGCAGAATCCAAAAAGTTTGACAAGATTTGGATGATGAAGTTGACCAAGATAAATGAGTTCAGACTGTAAGTAAAGAAATCCATGATGAGCTCTGATCTATTTAAAACAAAAGCGGCAGTGTTAAACAAAGGGACTGACCAGCCACTCCTTATGCCCTTGAAAGCCGTTAGACTTGAGCTTCTTTACAGCTACAGCCATTCCAGACCCAGGCATTGCAGGTCCAAAGGTTTGTTCATCAATCCACCCCATATAGACTTTACCAAATCCCCCTTCTCCAAGCATATTATCAGGACAAAAGTTTCTAGTAATATCCTTAAGCTCATTGAATGTGAAGGCTTTCAAATGTGGGGAGGATAGTATGACGCCTTCCAATCTTGGAGTGGGGAGTGTCTGAGGTTTAGCTTTATCACTGTATCCTTTCACTGGACTCGAATGAGCGTAGGAATGGGTGCTTCTACTAGAAACTTGTGTAGCACCTGCACAACATATTGAATTATTGATTTTAATAAAAAGAAAATTCAATAGAGTGAGATACCATAAAGAAAAAGCTATCTTTTTGGGATAAAGCTAAATTCCCCTGTAGATTAAGCATCAAAGTAATTAAATAAAGGGAGGATGTTTCCAACAACTTGTGCAATCAAAAGATAAGTAGCAGTCGTCAACTTGTCAAACGAATCTTCAAAAGAAAAAAAATGAGCGTAGAATTAAGTTCTAATGACTTCCTGACAACACATGGAGGAGAAAATAATATAGCATAATCATCAATATGATAAATGCTAAAATGAACAAGTACATTTGTTTATCTGTAGAAATTTCATCACAGGAAAACACACTGGAGATAGTTTTGTCCCAACATAATTGATCATTAAATTAATTTGGCAAGAAAATACATAATGAGAATTTGCTAATTATCGGCTAAAAAGTAAAAGAAATGAATGAAACAAACTGAACACGATAATAAAGCGAACTCCCAATTAGATAAAGGTTCTTAGCCACTTGAGATAGATACTCAAGAAGAACAAACCTCATTTGCAAGGGGGGAAAACTGGTTTAATTAAAAGAAAATCATATTAGTTCCTGCTTCATTAACAACTACAATTTCAATGGAGGCAAATAGGATTAAGAGTCACTCCCATAATGGCATAACAAAACGTAGCGCATTCAACCATGTGACCGGTAATCAAAACTTAAAAGAAAGCAGAGAGGACTACAATGTCGTACCGGAAAAAGTGTGAGAGGGAAGAGTATTATCAGCCTTGGGACGCTGTCGAAAGCAATTTCCCATAAGAGGAAGGTAACCTCTTGAAAAAACGGTTCGGCCTCTGTGAGAATAATGTCCAGATTGATGTGTAATGATCTGATGATTCTCCCGCATCATTCATATCCTTCTCGTTTCAGAGAAGAACATGAAGAGGACAGAGAGAATGGGATTTATAGTTTTGCATTGTCGTTATATGCAAACTAGAAAGCTTCGAAAATTACAGATCAGGACGCATGAATAGAGATCGAGTTTCAAGGCGATCCCAAACTCAAAACAAACCTCCAAGAACCTTACACACGTCCTCCTTCGAGAAGGGTTACTAATTAATTAATTAATATTTATAGGTTGTTGTGTAGCATCACTATGATATATATTTATGATTTTCATTCGTTATTATAACAAATAAAATGCAAATAAGTTTATTCTTATTTATTTTTAATTTATCTGTTGCTGTGTATAGTATTGTAAGGTCAAAAAACAATCGGTGTCATGTGATAAATGAGAATAAGAATTGAATTTAGAGACTATCCACATACCACACTCTCTTATTGAATCTTTAGTGACCTTTTTCTTTTCTTTTCTTTCTTTTTTTTGGTAAATAAATAAAGGACTTTTTTTTATTCCATTTCACATGTTTTAATTTATAATCTTGCCAAAAAAAAAGCAATTATAGTTTATATTTATGCTCACATATTCTATTGTCTCAAGTCAACCCTCCCTCACCTTGTCTTGAAATTGATGATGAAATTGAAAAATTCATATCAATTTATCCAAACATGTAATAACCCTAACAAAATTTAAATAAATAAATAAATATATATGTATAGGGTAACTTGCTTAAAGTGTGTTTATATTAATTTTTGGGATAAATATAATAAGTTAGAGACTTAGTCTAGTGACAGCTGAGCAACCTCCCATACATAAGGTCCCAAGTTTGAATTTGGAAAAGACCAAAAGAAGAGTTAATTTTTTTCTTTTTCTGGCTGTGCGAAATTACTAAACTGTCCTTAGCTTCATCAGATATTTTAACTCTTCCTTCTTCTTTTCTTGGTCATTCTAGAGCAGAAGCTCCGCGAGAGAGAGAGAGAGAGAGAGAGAGAGAGAGAGAGAGAGAGAGAGAGTTTCATCGTTCCTCTTCCCTCTGTGTTCGTTGGCCGGTGACCGTGGGTGCACCTCTCACCGTCGTCGCTGGAGATCGAAGAGAAAAAGGAGATCTGAGGTTGGATGAATTTTTGCTTAGCCTTTCGCGGGTCACTGTTTTCTTCCCTTTCCACCGTAGCTAGCGCTGCGTTCGCGTAGCTTATTGTCGCCGGTGTGCTCGTGGCTAGTCCTTCCATTTTGGTTAGAATTTTCCCTGTTTTTGCGTCATTCTCCCTTATACGAGCTCAGCTTTCCACCGTGTTAAGTTGTCAAAAATGGGTGATGCTAGTTTTGAGCTAAGGCGATGCTGACTCTAGTTTCCTTTTCTTCTGAACAGTGCTGTGTCTCCCTCTGTTTCTTGCATCAGCTGGAGAGTTTTGTTTTTCTCCCCTGTTTTGCTGTAGATTTTGCCTTCTTTGCTGCCTCTGCCGTTACTGGTGTTTAAGGTGAGAAATTTAAGGACTTTTCTTGCTGAATTTATGCGAGAAAGAGAGAGTTCTGATTGAGGACTGAAATTATAAAAAAATTTTGGTGGGTGTTCTGTTGTTGCCTTGACCGAAAATATATATATATATATATATATCTGGACTGAAATCGAAAGAGACAAACTTGGATATATGGTTGGTACCTATAAGATGTCATTGAAGGGCTTGTATGAGGACATAAAAAAATTTAAATCCTAAATATTGATGGGAATTATTGGTTTAGGGATTCACTTGTAGCTTTATAAAGGAATTTAATTATGAGCTTGCACACAATCATGTGTATATTGAGAGTTTGATTGATTTTTGGTGAATGGTCAAAGGCTTAAAATTGAAGAGGTAGAAGTAATGCACCTAAGGTAAGTGGTGTAAAGATTTGGAGAAAACTCCTATTCCAAGGAAATAGTATGGCATGGCTAAAGTTTTATGAAGGATGTTAGAGGAATAAATAATAATGCTTGAACTCCCTTTAAATCATAAATTTGGTTTTTGAAATTTAGATGGTGACTAATAAAGATTGTGTTATAAATTAAAAAGTTATTAAAATTGTATATATTTATATTTTATAGGGTGTGTGGAAGAACAAGACCCTGAAAAGATTTAAAAGAAGAATATTTTCGGGAATTTAGAACTTCAACAGGTAAGTGAATAGCATTCCTTTTAATTTATTTTTATTTTTATTGGTACTTTTATTTTTTTTATAAATTTTCATTGAGATATTTTATTCTTGTGAATTACATTAGTTTTGAAATTTTGTGATATTGATGCGAGACGTTTAAAGGAGGATATATGCATTTATTTCCTTAGGGAATATGTTTTAAAGATTTATGAAATTATTTAGTTTATTAAACTCTTCAAATCCTTGATTATTTAGATAATGCAAGCTCGTATATTATTTTATGAAAGATTATTTTCAACAGGTTTTAAATTAAAATTTAAAGTGATACATGCGAGTTTGGCATTGGAAACGCTGACTATATTTCAAAAATAATTATTTTCTCGCATGTTTGAAACACGATTTTTGAGAGGACTCCAAACAGAACACAGTTGCTAACGGCAGCTTCGTTAGCCCGTAGCGCGCTGTGGTTAAATACTAGCAAGTTTGTTTCGTGAGTTTTATTCTCACGTTTGGTATTCGTGGGCTTCGTACCCACGTTTGATTCCATGGCCTGAGCCGCGTTTGGTTACTTACCCTTGTGGACTGTGTGTCCATGTTTGTTTCGTAGCTTCGGCTGCGTTTGATTACTTACCCTCGTGGATTGGTATGTCCACGTTTGTTTTTGTGACATAAGTCGCGTTTGGTTATTTACCCTCGTGGACTATGTGTCCACGTTTGTAACCTGTTCTGTTAAGTTCTCAGAATTTTAAATGTTGATTAATATATGTTTTCGAAATTTACCCAATTTTTTTAGTAAATTGTATCACTTCGAGTTTTATGAGAGCAGATTGTTTCTTTAAACATGATAACATAAAATGTTTTCAACTTATTCTTATTTTATAAATATGATTATGCCTTACGTGCATTATAAATCTTGGTAGAATTACTTCCAACCATCTGACATCATTATTATAAATTGTCAATTGAAATTTTAAGAATTTTTTCATGGGAATGCTATTCATCAAAAAAATTATTTGGTCTCAGATTGGTTAGCTGATGCCAATTTCATCAACGACCTCAAAAAGGGCAACTAACTACAGTGGGTGGACATTTTGATTGGTATTGTTGCTTTAATGTAAATACATAAATTGTATGTCTTTTTGATTTAAAAGAAAGACTAGATACTCCACATAAGTTGTTGATGAAACTTATTTTTGTCTGTATATTGGTTGCTAGCTGGAAGGAGCTATGCTCTTGATTTATGCTGTTAATTGTAAAAAATTTTGTTGTAAAATTTTCGGGAGATCCTAATTACAGGAGAGGTTCTGCCGAAATTTTTACAAAAACGTTGACACTTTCTTATGATAATAAATTTACAGAAGTTATTTAATTCTTATGTGATTTGACTGAATTTTATTCTTTTAAAAAAAAAGAAAGAAAGAGAAATAAACATTCACTTGGAGGCTTACGGGAAGGTGAGAATGATTTACACCATATCAGTCACTCTCTATTTTGGGGCGTGACAAAACATATAGAACTCTATATTGTTTTTAAAATAAAAAAATTACTTTTAACAATTTTATACATTTTTATTATAATAGTAAGAAACAAATTTGAGACAGGACATTGATTAAAGCTACTACTCTAGCCTAACCTGTCCCAAATGGAATTTGTGCGTGTTTGGAATTGGATGAATTTGGTGTTCGCCCAAAAAAAAAAAAGAACTGGATGAATTTGGTAAAGTTGGAGTAATTTCACTTTTACTGTTAATTTTTAACAAACATCCATCAAATTCACTTAGGAAAAATTATACTTTAGAGAAAAATTTATCCCAACTTTAATTGTTTAGAATTCAAAATACACCTTTTTAAAGTTTAAGATTCAAATCACTCTTAGATCTATAATTCAGGGTTCAAATTGCATATTAACCCATTATAATGCATAAAGTTAAAGATGAATTAGTTGACTAATCAGTTTACAGTGGCATTACCTTTGGACCTTTTTATAAAAGCACTTTATAATTAAAAGTTAACTGTAAATTGTTTCTTATAAATAGACTTTGGGAGTTAGTATGATTAAATTTTGTAATTCAACTTTTAAAAATTTTAATTAATTACACAATATTTCTTCAAAAGATGTGACGAAAATGTTACATAACACGTACGAACAATTTATGCCTGGACCGGAGGCATTTTAGCCTTTTAGTAGCTAGTATGATACATACATGTGTGTGTGTGTGTGTAATACAAATTTATGTTCTCCATTTTGAGTGCATTGTATTCAAATACAAATTATATATAATTGATGACTGTGTTAGTTGAGATTCCAAAGTAAATGGTTTATCTCTCCTCTCACCACACATTGTGCTTTGTTTTGGGTTGGCACGTGGGCTTGTGAAGCTAATCTCACAAACTAAATATATAATGTACAAACGATTAAAACTAAAATGATTGTGTTGATGTTTAAGAACATATAGGAAATAAAGTTTATATAACTTTAATGAAATTTGAAAGACCTCTCCGTAAACTTACCCTAAAAAAGTATTATTTTTATGATGGCCTGCATCATTCAATATATATTATACTTGTCTTAGAGATTAGAACGAAGAAAGTGAAAAGTAACCGTAAAAAAAGAAGATATTAATGAATACACAAAATCGGGAAGAAGAGCTTTTATTCAAGATCTGAAGAGAAGGGTTTAGAATAAAAGAAGTTACGATTGATGATGCATATATATCTAGTACACAAACCCTAGCTAGCTAGTACTAGTGCACAAAAACTGGAGAAAAACGAACTCAATTATTAAGGAGAAGAAAACAGGTACGTACTCTCCTCATAATTAAGTGGAATTAAGAGGCACTTAATTAAATAAACTAAGAAAATAGATTAAGAAAGAAGAAGAGGTTTATTGCATAAGTAAGCTTCTAATAATGGCAGCTTGTGCACTATCAGTTGTAGCTAAGAGCTCAGATAAACGTTCACTTAGATCGTCCACTTCCCTGTGTAAGCTTCTGATGTAATTACACGTCTCCTGCAACACCTTCGCCGCTGAAACCTGCACTCTCGATCGCATTCAACACCATATTAATTAAGATTAATATATAATCTACTTAGTTGCACTTCTTAATTAATTCATGAATTTTCTGCCTTACATATTGTGTCATGCTTGCAATAATTAAGTTATCGTTCTTCTGGATTCAAGTCGTGATCAGTTGCTCAAGATGGAGCTATATATATATATATATATATGCCAATCTCTCCATATGATTTTATGTTGAGATCTTTTTATATTATTACGTCAGACTTAGGATAGGATTTAAGGACCAGCCTTTACGGAAATTATGTATAATGCAACTCCGACAATACCTAACTGATCAAGGCAATTTCAGTCGAATAAGATCTCTTAGAAATATCGATCGGTAGGCAATATAACAAGAAAGTCATAAAAGGGAGAGGTTTCTAAGATTAAGTACTGATACAAGAAGTGAAGTTCAAACATTCCGAGAAAAGATTCGATATTTTTTTTTAATTGAAGTTTTCAGAGGCGTTGAAGTTGAGGGTGTGGACTGATTAATTAAGAATTTGCGGGCCAAGTTGTGAAAACAATTTTCATAAAAATGAGGAAAAAAAAAAGGTGGTGCCACAAGTAACAATAACAAATAAATAGACCACTTTAACAAAGTAGTATACTAATCTAAGTGGCCATGTTTGTAGATCGTAATCATTCATCTTGTTTAGTTGTTTATGCAGTAAAAAACTTCAAACCCAAAGAGCTGTTAGAAGAACCAGATGGAAGTGATAGAGAAGCTAGAAATACCTTATCAGAACGCCTATCGCGAATCTCAGGAAGAAGCTGTTGCAACTTCGAAACAAGGTCATTGATCTGATCGTCGGTGATGTTCCGGGAACCGCTGGATTGTCTGGACCTTGATCTTCTGCTAGACATCTTAAATATTAATCAAAACGCGACACTACTATCTACTGAGAATTAGGGAGAGGCCTGAGCGACCAAGTTATAGAGAAGTTACTTGTTTGTGTGGGATTAGAGAGAGAGAGAGAGAGAGAGAGAGAGGAAAGACAGTGCATGGAAGAAAGAAGAGGGTTATATTTAAAGAGGGGTTTAGGAGAGAGAAGAATCAGGGTTCTAGAGATACGCCATATACTGTCGTCTCTTTCAGCTTAGAGTTTGGGACTCTCTCTTCTATGGCTTACAATAAACGAGTGCTTTGGTTTTAGTTTTTGTGTGAATGAGAGAGAGAGAGAGAGAGAGAGAGATCGGCTTTGTTCTTTTGTTTTTTTGACACCCTCTCTGCGCTTGTCAGTGTCTACACGCAATACCATGTTATCTATATATTTTCATTGTCAATATATCTCTCTGTTACCGCTATCTTTTTAATCTAATTTAATGAATTGATCAATTTGCAGGGAATATACCTCGTCTGCAATGTTTACTTGTTTAGCTAGTCTACTTTAACAAGTAGCTTTGGAGCCTTTTAATTTGCTTAGACATTGAAATCACATCCTTTAATAAAATAACTGTGGAGAGTGCATGGCTAATTCACATCTTTGAGGCATAACCCTAGAGTTCCATCCAAAACACTACTATATATCAACATTATGTTTCAAATTAATAGTTGACTTTAGAATTTTTTATGGAGTCTATCATTTTGAAATTTTGGTTTTGTGTCCAGTTCCAGTTAATGGTGACTCTAGATTTTTTTTAAAAAAAAAATGCAGCATCATATTTCCAAAAATATTGGCTCATCAAAAAATTGAGTATTCTCAAATCCCAAATTTAAACATGAGGCCCTGTACCTAAATGGTCACGACCGCTTTCAGTAGTATTAACACATGTTTTTATGCCATTCTGCTTAGGAAGAATTAATATAAAGTTATTTTATATTTTTTGGGATGTAAGTTATTTAAAGGTTCAATTCATGCATAACTTTTTTATTTTCAAACATAATTATTATAGTTAATAAACTTTTTAAATTATATAATATAGTTTTTTTATATAAAAACGGAGGAAGTATATAGTTAATATTGATATTATGATGAAAAATTAAAAGAAAATTAAAAGAAAGTAGCAGTTGCAGGAAAAGTGGAGGGAACAGGAAGATTAGGGTAACGTGATCGAGGGCTCGAAAAAGTTGACTGGTCAAACCAAACACACTTCATGTCCATGTCACGTTATGTTATTGCTCCAACCAAGAACACAGCGAGCCGCATGGAATTCCTCATCATCCTTTAAAAGCTCCCTCCACTACACAGCAGCAAAACACGAGAAAATCTCCACCGTATTTTTTGCGCCCAAAACAGAAAAAGGAATATTAATTACATATGCAGATCGAAGTAACGGAACTATTTAAAACTAAATTAATCATCTATGAGTAGATACTAATTAAACAAAACCCTGATTATGATATATATATATATATATATATAACTTTTGGCCTGGTAATTAATGGCATAATTTGGGCGAGGAATCAATCTAAAAGGAGCAATCTGATTGGCATAAACCAGCGCTCACATGATTATTCATTGTCCTATTTTACATGCATACCTGTTCATGTAATCATGGTACACAGAATAGTATATATCACTGTATCTACTCTTATTTGTTTTTTGTCTTCCTTCCACCTGCTGCTCTACTGTTATATTGTACCAACCATGGTGTGTGTGTATTCTTCATAAATTATGAATTCATTTCCTGTAACTTATAAATCCATGACAACTTGGCATGTACGCAAACTTTAATTTTATCGAGAGATCTAATTTTGACATCTTGTTTAATTATTTATGGGACACTGTGAGCCGACCACACGTCTCAACATTAATTAAGGACGTATTACTCCATGTTAACTTAGTATTTATATATATATAAAAAAATGCTCATATAGGTTAAGAAAGTGTGATGCCTTTTAATCTTCTGGTGGGATATACATGGTATTATGGGTTGGGAAGGCTTGACCAATTTATAGATCAACTTGTGAGAATTGCATTAACAATTTCGTACCAATTATATGTGCACACTTGCAGTTTTAACTTTTAGATATAGTTGAATATATTAATTTTTGTTTAAAAATATATTAACATTTTTATAAAAATAATTTTAAATATTTATTAATTTTTATTAAGGATATAACATAATATACAAAATTAAATGCTAAAAATAATGCATAAAATAAAAATTACAATAAAATTAAAAAAATTACTTTTTGATGGGATAAATTTTTTAGTCTTTTAGATCATAAATTTTTATATGGGAGAAGTGAATTTTTATAAGGTGGAAAGTGAATTTTTTGAAATGATGGGGGCAAATGAAATTTTCTAATGGGGGCATATAAAAATTTTGGGGTCTTAGTATGCAATCCCTAACGTGGATCCATCCCTGAGTTAAAGTATTGTCTGTTTCTTTCGAATTAGTCTGATTTAAGCTTTAATTTTACCATTAAAACATCACATCCTTCTTCGTCTTAATTAGGCCAGTTTAATCATCAAGCGGGATTATATAAATGTAATAATTTTAACAATTTCAAGGAAGGTTCTAGCATAAATTAAAATTAAACTTGATCCATCAAATATCATCACAATCTTTCATCAGCTATATCAGTATGTGTTACTACGAGCATATATACTCATAAGAATGGAACTTATAAACCTCTTCTGAGGTTCCAGACGTGGGCCGACTCATAACAGAATGTCGAACAAAAACAAAATCATATTATAATAAAAACTATATCTGTATATTAAAAATATTCAGAAGCTGCTGCGTGCTTATAGGACGTGATCACATGACATTACAAAATGTTTAATATGTAGGTGAGTGTGTGTGATCATAGATATGAGCAGAAGATTGATTCGAAGCAGGTGAGAGAGAGAGAGCTAGCAGTGATGGAGTAATGAAGATGATGAGATTGGTCAGCAAGCATCTCGGGGGCACATGACCTTGGATCCAATTAACAGCGAGGACTGTGCTCATGTGTCTCACGAGGCTTCCTCATTTCTTTATTTCGCTTTTCAATCCTCCAAATTATATATATAATATAATTCGTCTCACCATATGCTCTCTGTACCTTTTCACCTATATTATATTACTCACTGCCTCTATTACATCTTTCCTTATCTTATACCATCAAACAATAATATTCTGATATTAGTCTCGCTTAAGTCGGTGTTCGGTGTTGTTAACGATGAAGTATGCGTAGATTTTAAGTTGAGCAGATATCCACAAGTCGGTAGTTTCATTGATTTGGGATGATACTTGATTCACTGTTGTGTGCGTGTGATTTTGAAAAGCGTAAAAATTACAACGTTTGTGAGTGTCTCTGTGTGGGTGTGATGATCAGTCAAACGACAAGAACCACCTCTTAAGTATCGTAATTCATGATGTCAACTGTAGATAATTGCACATAAAAATCCATATACGAATCTAACTCCCGTCCATGAGCATCCCCAGGACAGATAAGAGAGAAATCAAAAGGATTATAAATCAGCTCAACAATCTATGGAGAAACTTCAGGGTCTAGTGCTAAACAAAAACACCACGCGCGCACTTCATACAATATTTTTCCTATCATTATAATAATAAATGCTTAGCATTAAAAAAACAATGAAGAAAAAAAAAAAGCATAAGACAGCCCCTTGAACGACTTTTAATTTCTTGTGAGTTTTTGATGAAACATGGGATAATGATTAATTAGAATAATTAGAGTTTATTTAAGATATTATGATTATTCATTAGGAATATTTAAATAAAAATTTTATCCATTAATATTATATTTTTTATCTTAGATTTATTTATATTCAATAAAATAGGATATTATCATCCTGTGAGTATATTTTTAAATTTGGGATTTAAATTTAAATCCATCATTTTATTATTTTTAGAACTTTATAAATAGAGTTAAGATTTTCATTTTTATTTAGCTTTAATTATTATTTAATAAATATTTTAAGAATTTCGGCTTTCCTCCTTCCTCTTTCTCTCTCTTCCCTTTTTCCCTTCTCGTTGTACATTAGTTCCCCTCAGAAAACTCAAGGATTGTCTTTTTCATGATATCCACCTTTTAATGAAAAATCATCAATGTTTAGAGGGCAAGTTCAAAGAAATAATCTATTTTAAAACACTAACCTATCGTAGTGAGTGACGAATCTAGACACACATACATGGGTTAAGTTGAAAATCACCTAAAATATGAGAGTTAAAACTAATTTTTCAAATTTTTTACAAACAAAATTTAAAATATTACATAGGAGTAATGAAATTTTAAAGCGAAGAGTACACTCACCTCCTATACATATTTGCCTGTAATATGTTAAGTGAAAGAGCCCCATAATTTATTAGGTTTTAATTTTTCTTGTGAGACTCATAATAATTATATGGATTATTGTGCATAAGCAAGATCAAAATTAGTCAAGATTTTACATTTTTGGAGTACTTTTTTTAGATAATTATTAGGTTTAAATATAAACATGTATAGTATTATAACTACATACTAGCGCTAGCTAGGTTAAGAAAACGCATAGGAATATGGTCAACCATAGGAAGTAAAAGAGAAAGCAAGTTTTGGAGGCAGGCATCTTTATCTTCACTCCATGCGTTGAGGAAATAAAACAAATAATTAATTCTAATATGGCAAGGAGTGGGAGGCATTAATAATACAAACAAAGGGTTGGAATTAAAACCCTTTTTAAGATTTCTAAAAAGGTTTGGTTGGGAAAAAAAAAAGGTGTCATTATCAATATCTCATCGGTGATGAGATGGATGATTCCTGCGATAGAGGTATAGAGAAGATACAAACAGAGTAAAATAATTAATTCCATGTATATCTTTTATGTAGTCGACGAGCTTCTACTTTCTAGGCTTGACTGAAACCGCTCACTTGTTGTGTGGTACCTCCCATTTCTTTATATGTTTGTTTGCGTGCAAATACCACTTGGGTTCTCGTAAAACTTATCCCCAAACACAATGGGCGGGTCAGTATAAATACAAAGCAGCAACTTTTGAATTCTAACAACAATATTAAAAAAAAAAAACTTCAAGGACTTGCATTGAACCTACCAGCTGCTGTGATTAATCTATATGCATGATTAAAACATGCATGATGTGTGTGTAATGTTGATGGTGAAAAGTTTGGCGAGACACTATTATAGTTTTGT